CAGCCCCCAAATTATGCATAGAGAACAACGAGCATGATGTGTTAGTAAATGCAAGTCATGCAAACAAGATTTAATTTGCATTGATGAGGTGGTAGCATGGAGACTACCCAAAACAAAATAAGAATAAAAATCAAATTATGACAAGAGCAAAAGTGGTTTATATGCAACGATAACGCAAAAGTGTAAGGCATGTGCTCAGCGAATGCATAAATAATAGAGAATTACGAATCCGAGTAAAACGATGCACAAAGTCAAATTAAATGCTTTTTAAAAATTAATGAATGACATAAATAGTAAAGTGAATTACGAATGTGAGTAAAATGATGCACAAAGTCAAATTAAATGCTTTTTTAAAATTAATGAATAACATAATAATAAAGTGAATTACGAATGTGAGTAAAACGTTGCACAAAGCCAAAAATACTTTGATAGTTCAATTGTTCAAGTAATGTTGTACCATGATTCCGGGTACCTTGCGAAGAGTGTTCATTGAATTGGCGTCTTAATGTAGGTTTGGTAGGCATCACTCTTCCATCGTCCAAGGCATTTGATTAACCAATCCGGAATTCCTGCAGCTGCAGCGGTGGTGGCAGCTCCGCTTCGAAAACTATGGCTGGTGAATTGGGTGATATTAGGTACACCACCCTGAACGAGGTGAATTTGCAACACATGTGTAAGCTTCTGGCGGGTTAGGTAGTCACCGATGGTGAATTGAAATGCAGGACTCTGTCGCAAGTGAGAGGTGTTTGCAGAATAACGGTGATACGCACGTACCGCACATACTGATGAATCAGAAGCAGCGATGACAATGATTTGACCCTGCCGAAAAGGATCAGTCTTTGATGCCTTTATGCGAACATTGAGCCCACAGAGATTGTCATCGATGTGTATATCTGCATGGAGTAGGGTTGTAGCTGTGTCGTAATATGTTGGAGAAGAGGCAGTGAATTCGCTTACTCTAAGAAAGCCGAAAAATGCGATGGTGAATGCTGACCACATCATAAGTTGGTCGATAGGGTGAAGAGAATGAGATGCACGGAGGGCGTTTTTCAGTTTCCGAAGTATACCAATAGTAACAGGAAGTCGTTGGCGAGTAGGCACGCTGTGATGTCGCTTGATTCCTTGTAAGGTGCAGTGTAGAGTGTTCCAGTTAGATATATCATTGACATGTCCTGCTTCGATGTGCATGTCGAGGGTGGCAGTCAGGTACAGTTTTATGGTGTTGTAGACTAGCCCAGTCGATGCAAGATATGTAACGAATAATGGTGTTGAGTGATAGGTAGACTCGGAATGTCATGAGCGAGACAAAACTTGAAATACCGAGACTGACCTGCAGCATATGTTCGCCGTGTCGAGACGGCCAGAGAGTGATAGGCGTAGTATTTGGCTTTTTTTCTTCGAGGTTACCTTTGGCAGCAGATGTTGGAGTTGCTTGATGTAGTCCCTTGTGTTGATTGGGTATTTTGTTGCTTGTGGTGCCAATGAACGGAATCTCTGTAGCTGCAATCGGGATAAAGAATCGGCAATGTTATTATTAATTCCACTGATGTGGGTGACCATGACATGAAAATTTGATTTGGCAGCTTTGAAGAAAATAGCTCGAACGAGAGCCATGATGAAAGGACAACGCGAGGATCCTTTACGCCAAATGTTGACAATACTTTCGTTGTCACAGTGAAATAGGACCTTCTTTCCATGCCACAAACTCCCCCAAATTGAACAAGCGAGGAAGATTGGGAGTAGTTCTTTCCATGCAATGGAAAGGTCGGGCTTGGTGCTGGATGGAATGGAGGACCATGGCAGCGAGAACCACTCGCCGTTAAAATAGCCTCCACACCCAAGTGTAGATGATGCATCGGTGTATAATTCCATTTCGGGTGAGGGAGTCCATTTTGATTGAAGGAAATGGGCTGAACCATTCCACATTGGCAGGAAGTCCCGCCACCACTGTAGATCGAGGTAGAAAGGCTGAGTTAATGTTAAATGCTGCTGGAGCTTAGTTACGGTAGTTGAGAGATTGATCATGCGACGCAGGAATGTCCGACCTGCAGGAATGCATTTGCAGGCAAAGCTAAGTATGCCAATTAATGACAGTAGTTCGCGTTTTGTGCATGATGTTATCATGGACCATTTTTCCAAAGTTTCTGTAATTTCACGTAACTTGCCGTCTGGCAAACGGAGTACCATTTTAGTGTG